TTGGCTCCACTTTCTCTTTGATATAATTCTATCTTTGTGGGGTTTTTCTTGGTACTTCCTTACTTTCTGATACTTCAAGATTATCCTGGCTCCTATATTTACTTAATCCCAGTATAAGCCATTTCTTCCAAGAGCCCTGGTTCCTTTTATTAGAGAATGGTATTAAAGTCTCACCTGTGGGACCTGAATGTGCTCAGCGGACAATGCAAGGCAATATATGCATGTATTCCAACCTATGTAAACACACCTAATTATAAGGATTTCTGTGTGGAACTGTGTCCATATTAAGCTAAAGATGAGTTTATACTGCTGTCTCCAACCTGGTCCACCACCACATGGAGATTGTGATCTTCTCCCTTTGCTGATCTGTAACTTCCTACTCTAACAGTGACAAACCTGGCTCTCACCACCGGCCCTTTATTTAATTCATTGCTCCATTCCAGATTACAGATGTGGTGTTTTCAGAACTGTTAGCTACCACTCTGATGGCAGAGAACTTTATCAAATAGAGTCCACTGTGTACGTACAGTACATTTTTTCTTTAATCTACAGATTCCATTCATTTCCAAAGTTACTTAGGTCAGCACCTTTTGTCATACAACCTACAGTGAGGGTTTTTTTCCCCCCATATGTTTCTAATACATGACATGGATGAACTTTACATGTATTTTTCTAAGTGTTAGATTATGTGTCACGTTCTGTATTCCATTGAAGGGAAGGAAGAAATTTTCCTTGGTCCAAGGTTCTTACCACGGAACTAAGAATGAAATCGACATGAGACAGAGTAATAGGAGAAAAAAACCCAAAATGTAATGATGTGCACAGGGAGACCCAAAAATGAAACTGAGGTCTAAAGAAATGACCAAGGAAGCCAGGTTTTATACTTTTTGGACAAAGAGAAAATACACCTGTGATGAAATCACAGGACAAGGAAAACTTAACCTTGGGTGCTTCAATTAGTAAGCAATTCTAAACAGAATTTGGGCTGGGGTCGTAAATTAGTAAAAATTAACAAGGGTTGTTTAAACAGCCTTATGGGCTCCAAATCTCCCATCTCTGGTGATGCCAAAATCTCTTTACCTTCTGGTACAGGGACATCTTCATATGGGAGATAGATTTCCTGCTTCCAGGGGGACAGAGGAGGGTCTAAGTATCCTCATTGCATAGGCTGTCTCTTAAGTAACTTTTATTTAAAATGATCTGTATGTCAAAGTGGCAGATTTGGGGCAGCCTGCCGTTGGCCCCTACACCATCCTGTGACACTCCCACATCCTAAACAACTTAATTTCAGCAGATTATGATTTACTTTTTGGGATGTAAAAATGTTTGTGTTTTTTAAAGATTTTATTTTTAAGTAATCTTCACACCCAACATGGGGCTCGAACTCACAACCCCAGGATCAAGAGTTGCATGCTCTACCGACTGAGCCAGCCAGGTGCCCCAAAAGTTTTGGGTTTTTCACAGATGCAGAGTGGCAGGTATAAATCATTAAAATATCATGGAATTCACCCCCTGATCCTTTTATCATCTTTAGTTTTGCCTTTCCAGAATCTCCTACAAATGGGGTCACTCAGTGTGTAAGCTTTTCAGATTGGATTCTTTCACTTAGAAAAATACAGGTAAAGTTCATCCATGTCATTGTATGGGGTGATGGTTCATTTCTTCTTATTGCTGAATAGATTAGCAGGAGAAAAACAAGTCAAAGTTTAATAGCACGCATACATCCTTTATTCATGGGAGATACCCAGGAAAACAGAATAATTCCTTGAAGTGGCCCAGCCCTTACCCTAAATGCTATCCTCAGCGAAAGACCAAAAGATTTTGGGTGGTGGGAAGGCCAGTTAAGGGATGTTATCAGGAGAGCACAGTAAACAAGGGTATGGTTGTTACACAGATTTAAGTCTGTGCCTTCTCTTTTGGTAAGAGTTTCTTGAGTTTTAGTAATTCTGTTCCTGATACAGAGGGAGACAGGCTTACAAATGGGGCGTTCCTTTATAAGCATAGATTTCACTCACCAAAAGGCAACTTTTACCCAGTTTTCAGAGATTCTCCCATGTCTGCTGTTTCTTAAAATTAATCAGCCCAATATCTCTTGTGCCAAAAAGGTATATTTTGCATGGCATATTCTGCTTCCTTCACATGGATGCACTCAATTTGCTTATGGATTCATTTATGGAAGGACATCCTGGTTGCTTTAAGTTTGTAACCATTTTGAATGGTGTGCATAACTACTACTACTGTGCATAACTGCATGTGAGTTTTTGTTTGGAAATAGTTTTTCAAAGCAGTTGTCTAAATACTAGAAGTGCAATTGTTGGATCTTAACATGAGACTTACTTAGGTTTGGAAAAAATGGCCAAAATGTCTTCTGAAGGGACAGTTGCTGCCATTCCTCACCTTCCAGCAATTGGTATTCTTGTTTTTGGAGTTTAGTATTTGTGATAGGTGTGCGGTGCTGTCTCACTGGTTTTTAAATTTGTACTTTCCTAATGATGATGTCAAACATTTTTGTATGCTTATTTTGTATCTGTACATCTTCTTTGTCCAGCATCTGTTCACATCCTTACCCATTATCAATTAGGATGTTTGTTTCCTTATCGTTGAGTTCTGATAGTCTTTTGTATTTTTTGAATACAAATCTTTTACCAGATTTGTGCTTTGCAGATATTTCCTCCCAGTTTGTGGCTTGTCTTTTAGTTTTCTGAGCAAGCTCTTTCACAGAGCAAAAGGTTTTTTTTTTTTTAAGATTTTATTTATGTATTTGACAGAGAGAGACACAGCGAGAGAGGGAACACAAGCAGGGGGAGTGGGAGAGGGAGAAGCGGGCTCCCCGCTGAGCAGGGAGCCCGATGAAGGGCTCGATCCCAGGATCCTGAGATCATGACCTGAGCTGAAGGCAGACGCTTAACGACTGAGCCACCCAGGCGCCCCGCAAAAGTTTTAATTTTAGGAAGTTCATGTTATCAATCTTTTTCTTTTGTGGATTGGCTTTTGGTGTTGTGTGTTAAAGCTCATCACCGAACCCAAGACCATGTGGATTTTTTTCATTTTCTTTTTTTTTTAAAGATTTTATTTATTTATTTGACAGAGAGAGAGAAAGAGAGAGCAAGCACAAGCACGGGGAACAGCAGGCAGGGGAGAAGCAGGCTCCCTGCTGAGCAAGGAGCCCGACGCGGGGCTCGATCCCAGGACCCTGGGATCACGACCTGAGCCGCAGGCAGCCACTTAACCGACTGAGCCACTGAGGCACCCCCTTTATTTTGAGTTTTACATTTTAAATTTATCTACAATTTTGAATGAATTTTGGTGTAAGTTGTAAAGCCTGAGTCTGCATTTCACTTAATTCCGTATGGTTTCTAATTAATAGTTTCTATTTCTGGAGAAGTCAGGGGATAATTGGACTCCATTTCAGTTCGAATTTCCCAAATGTAATGGATTCAGCTGGACCCCAGAAGGGACAGGTGCCTCCCCGGAACTGAGTGCACCGCAACCTGCACTGCCCCCACCTCCCGCAGGGGGCGCCCGAGTCCCGCCCCGCGACCCGTGCGGGGCATGCGCGCTCAGCCCTCCTCCTCCGGGGCGAGGACAGGTGTTCCAAGGCCTCAGGACCGACCCACTGTGCTGACGCCCAGGCTTCGGGAGGACTTGGGGCCTCAGCCACGGTCAGGGGCCGGCCCCCTCAGGACCCGCTGTGGAGACTTCGGGAGGACGTGGGGCCGCGTCCACGCTGACAGGGGCCGGGCCTCCTCAGGACCCGCTGTGGAGGATGTGGGTCCGCGTCCACGCTGACGGGAGCCGGCCTCCTCAGGACCCGCTGTGGAGCATGTGGGGCCGCGTCCACGCTGACGGGAGCCGGGCTCCTCAGGACTCGCCGACGGAGGAGGAGGTGAGGAGAAGCCGCCTGAGCGGGGACTGCGGAGGGGGTGCGAGCTCGCAGGAGCCCGCGGAGGAGGGGCGCGCTGTGTAGACGCCGGGGCTTTGTGCGCGGTGACGCGGGGTCCCCGCGGTGCTGTGCGCGGGGCTGTCGGGTCTCCCCTTCCTGGGCTCGGATCCGCTCGGGGGTCCCGGGGTCTGTGTTCACGCGCCCCTCGGATTCGGTTCCGGGGCTCCTCGGCCGGGCTGCGGTCAGGCAGCGGGCCCCCGCCGCGGCGCTCGCGCTCCCCGGGCCTCGGCCCTGCGTGTCCTCCCCGCGGCCGCGCCGTCGGGGTCGGGGTGGGGCTCCGCCTGCGGCACGAAGGTCGGCGGCTCGGCTTCTCGGGGCCGCGCGGACGTGGTGGTTTGAAGAGGAACCGACTCTGCGGAAACCCGCCACCGCAGCGCAGACCCTCCCTCTCCGCACCCAGACCCCAGCCGCGTCTCCTCGCCGCCCGCGGGGTGCCTCAGGGCGTGTTACCCCCGACGGGGCGCTGTCCCGCGGAACCACCACCGAACCCTCCGAACGTGTCAGGCGCACAGTTCTCGGCCTTCGCTGGGTTCCCGCGGGGGCACGTCGTTCTCCAGAACCTCTTCCTTCTCCCCGAGGGCCGCTCTGTCTGCGGGAGACACCAGCTCCCCGTCCCCCGTCCCCTCGGCCCCCGCAGCCACAGTCTACTGTGTGTCTCAGGACACTTCGTGTAAGTGGGACCACAGGGCGTCTGTCCCTCTGTGACTGGCTGATGTCGCTCAGCGTGATGACTTCCAGCTTCATGCGTGGTGTCGCCTGTGTCAGAGCCCCCTTCGTTTTTAAGGCTGAATCGTGTTCCGTGGTGTGTACACCGTGTTTTGTTTATCCATTCGTCTGTCAGTGGACACTTGGGTTGCTTCCCCCTTTTGGCTGTGGTGAAAAATGCTGCTCTGAATAAGGGTACTTCTCCTTTCAATTTTGGGGGTATGTATCTAGGAGTATAATTGTTGAACCAGATGGTAATTCTCCTTTGATCTATTTGCCTAAATGCCAAAATATTTTATACGTAGACTGCACCATTTTTCACAAACAAGGTGTAAGGGTTTCAGTTTCTCAACATCCTTTCCAAAATTTGTTATTTTACTTTTCTTGATTATAGAGATTCTCTTGTGTGTAAAAGGACATCTAACTGGTTTAAATTTTCATTTCCATAAAGACTAAGGATGTTTAACATCTATTCATGTGCTATTCACCATTTGTATGATTTCTTTGGAGAAACGTCTATCCAAGTCTTTTGTCTGTTTCAAAAAATGGGTTGTCTTTTTGCTGAGGAGTTGTAAACGCTCTTTACATATTCTGGGCAACAGACTCTTATTAGATACATAATGTACAAATATTTTCTTCCATTCGGCGGGCTATCTGTTCACTTTCCAGATAGTATCTTACGATGTAAAAAGATTTTTAATTTTTTTTTTTTACATTTCTTTTTTAAGAGTGAGTGAGTGTGCGAGTGGTCAGGGGCAGAGGGAGAAGGAGAGAGAATCTTAAGCAGGCCCCACGCTCAGTGTGGAGCCTGACGTGGGCTCGATCTCATGACCCCGAGATCATGATCTGAGTCAAAATTAAGAGTCGGACGCTTAACCAACTGAGCCACCCAGGCACCCAGAACAGGTTTTTAATTTTGAGGATATTATTTTATCTATTTTTTTCTTTGCTTTCTTATGCTTTGGTGTCAGATCTGATAGCATTGCTAGATCCAAGGTTATGAAGATTTATCCCCACTTATTTCTTCTAGAGTTTATAGTTTTACCTCTTACATTTAAGCCTTTAATGTATTTTGAGTTAATGTTTATATGTGGTGTGAGGTAAGGGTCCAGTTTCATTCCTCTGTACATGGATAGGCAATTGTCTAGCACCCTTTGTTGAAAAGACCATTCTCTCCCCCCAGTGTAATGTCCACCCTTGTCAAAATTCAGTGGACCATAGATGAAGGGGTTTATTTCTGGGCTCTCAGTTAAATCCCACTGATCTGTATGCATATCTTTTTTAAAAAAATGATTTATTTTTAAAAATGTTTTAAATTTAAATTCAATTAACATATAATGTATTATTTGTTTCAGGGTGAATGCATACCTTTATAACAGTATCAAAATGTCTTATTTACTGTTGCTTTGTATTAATATTTGAACTTTGGAAGAATGACCTTTCACCTTTGATTTTCTTTTTCAAGATTGTTTTGGCTATTTTGTGGTCCCTTGAAATTCCATATGACTGTTAGGATTAGCTTGTGCAGTTCTTTCCAAAGGCCTTTGTGAATTTTCTTGGGAACACATTGAATTTCCACATTGCATTGTGTACTATTGCCATCTTATCAATAGTATGTCTTTTCATCACCATGGGGTCCTCAGATTTATTTAGGTTTCCCTTTCTTTCAGCAATGTTTTGTAATTTTCAGCGTACAAGACTTGCACCTTGATCACATCTATTCCTAAGTATTTTGTCAATGTTAATGTTCCCTGAAATGGAATTGTTTTCTTAAATTATTTTTTGGATGATTCATGGCTAATGTATACAAATAAGAGAGATTCTTGTGTATTGATATTAACTGACTGTAATCATTTGTTAAATGTTTAGGAAGCTCTGTGTATAAGATGATGTCATCTCTGGTCTCTGAATAGACCTAGTTCTACTGTTTTCTTCCACATGTGGATTTCTTGCCTTATCATTCTGGGTAGAACTTTCAGTACGATACTGAGCAATGAGTGAAAGCCAGCATGATGGACTTGTGTTTGATTTCAGAGTAGAGCTGTCAGTCCTCAAAATTGAGCATGATGTTTGATTAGAGTTAGGGTTGGGGTTAGGGTTAGGGGCTAGGGTTAAGGGTTAGGGTTAGGGTAGGTGACCCTGTGACCCATGAAGCCCGACAGTCAGCATGCTAGAGCCAGGAACACTCCCCCTGTGCTGAGCTCCCTGGCAAACCCTGCACGTCCCCTCCCCTGGCTGACCCCCTGCAGGTTCTGTCCCCACCTGCCATGAGTTGAGCACCTTTGGGCACAGCCCTTGTTTCTATAGCCTACAGACTGGGTAGAATCAGCTGCATGGGTTTCTAGCCTCTAAGCCTCAGGCTCCCCTTTGTAAGATGGGGTCCCGATGGCTCCCATCTCTGGGAGCCGAAGGTAGGAAGGCCCCACCAGCAGACGCGCTCAGGCCAGGCCAGGAGGGTGGCTGTTGCTTAAAGCAGCCCAGGGCCTGCCCCCCTTGAAGAAAGTGCACACGTTCACGGCCCAAGTTTTGGGGTCCTGCCGCCAGCCTCTGGCAGTGACCCTCCTCCAGCCCTGTCCCCTGTCCCTGTGGATACATTGTGTTCCTGACACTGTTCCTGCAGACAGTTGAGAAGCACTTCACCGTGGGACACAGGGTCACCTACTGCGTCTTCACCAATCAGTTGCCCGCCAGGCCCCATGTGCCCCTCTGGGAAGGCCGGAAGGTGGTGATCCTCGAGGTTCCCGGCACCCCGCGCTGGGAGGACGCGTCCATGCAGAGCACGTGATGATCCGCCGCTTCTGTAAGCAGCTTTTCCCGTCATCGCGCGCTGAAATAAAGTTCTCAGACACCAATCCAAGCGGCCATGCAGGGCTGCCTCTGTAAGTAGGGCAGCAGCAGCTGGGTTCTGCACATCGCTTTTACGTCATTTTTTATCAGAAAAGCAAAGGCAGACGCCTCAAAGCGTGGGAAAGGAGGACAAAGGGATGGCAAGTATCCCGAAGCTGTGAAGGAGGCCTGCACCCTCCTCTACGTGCAGGCACGCAGGGAGGCCGTCATGGGATCGGGGAAGAGTGGGATGTTTGCGCTAGCAAACGCCAGGTGCAGGAAGGGGGCACGGGGGGTTACATTCTTTCCTGGCTGCTAACCTTTGCCCTGCCCCTGGGGATCATGGGATCCTGCTCCTACCGGGCCATTGTGGTCAGTAGCCTGAGAACAGGAACGCTGCTGACGTTTCAGCTGCTTCCACAATCACTCCTTAGGGCTGACAATATATTTTCTAAGATTAACTCCACAGTTCCTCTGTGAGGTGGACTACCTGGTGTGCACAGAGGTGGACATGAAGTTCCGCGACCACGTGAGTATGGAGACCCTCTTCGGCACCCTGCACCCCGGTTTCTACCAGGCGGCCCACAAGGACTTCAGCTACAAGCATTGGCCACAGCCCCAGGTGCACATTTCCCAGGGGCAAGGGCGACTTTGACTACAAGGGGGCCTTTTCTGGGGGGTCGGTGGTAGAGGTTCACCAACTGACCTTGGCCTGTCACCAGACAATGGGGGTCAACCTGGCCAATGGGATCGAGGCTGTGTGGCATGACGAGAGCCACCTGAACAGGTACCTGCTGGGCCATAAGCCCATTAAGGTGTTGTCCCCAGAGGACCTGTAGGACCCACAGCTGCTGGTCTGCCCCCAGAGGACCTGTGGGACCCACAGCTGCTGGGCTGCCCTCCATCATGAAGAAGCTGAGATTCATGGCTGTGCCCAAGAATCACCAGGACGGCAGCAGTGGTTAGTACTTGAGGAGTCATTTTGGTGCCCACCGGGTCTTTCACCCAAGTTAACAGATGAGTCAGAAGGAAGGACGTCATCATTTAGGAAGTATAGACGAAGGTCAGAGTGGAGGTGGGCAAAGGCCTCTTTCAGAGAGCAGGGAAGCTCTGAGCTGCTTCTATACACCTTGCCCTGCTCATCGCTTCTGGCTGCCTGGCCCTGAGTTCTGTCCTTTCAATGAATTGGTCATCTAGTAAGTGACATGTTTCTCTGAGTTCCATGAGCCACTGGAGCAGATTATTCAAACCTGAAGAGGTTGTGGGGACCTCCAATCTATAGCCCATAGCTCGGAAACAGGGGTGACTTCTCTGCCCAGCCACTGGCTGACCACTAAGTTAACAGCACAGGGATTCAGTAGCCATACACACAGCAAAGAATACAGACTTGACAAAGTTAGTTCAGAAAAGTCCTAAACCAACAGTAGCAACTACAACGAGCAGCAATCATGAAGCCTGGCGTGGGGAAGGTCTGATGTTCGGGATGCTTCCATTATAATAATCATAATCACACCCTGGACTTGTCACTGGGGCCAAGTCCCCTGGCTGGGGGCCAAGTAGCTCCTACATGTTCCATGTGCCTCTCTCCCTGGCTCCTCCAGCCATGCACTGTCCTGTGCTGCTTCCCAGTAGAGGTCCGTTTTCACCAAAGCCAGGAAGATGGGATGGGTTTTTCTGTCTCCGCACCCCCCGCCCCACAGTGTTGCAAGAGAGGAAAAAGTTTTCCTCAACCCTTTTAAGGTCCCTGGCTGAGTCTGGAAATTGACAAAGACAGATGGACAGGAGAAAAGCAAGCAAAATGTATTGATTGTTTTGGTGGGAACCTCACAAGACCATGACGACCAGCAGAGGTGACTGGAGCAGACAGCTCTTCTACCTTTTAGACAAAGAAGCAGTAAGTGTGTGAAGAATTGACAGACACAGGGGTTTGGACTAGGGCTCGTAAACGGTAAAGAAGTTAACTAGGAAGATAAGGGTTCGTTTAACCAGGTGTGTTCGTATAGACCCCGTGGTCCTAAATTCCTTGACTCTGGTGATAAGCACGTCATCCCTGTGGTCCAGGGAGAGAAAGTTCCACATGGGAGTATTCTGACCTGCTTAAGGGAAGAAGGGCTGATGGCTGGGGGTCAGAGAGACCTTCTTGCTTCTGCTCTATGCAAAAGTTCTTTTAGCTTCTATATTTAATTTGCCAACGTGCCATATTTAAGTTAGTTTGTCCTGACCCTCACTGGCCTGGTGCTGTACTCTGTCTCCTAGTATCCAGGATATTGGGTGTGCTGCTGTGGAGACCTCCCAGCCCTGGGGTAGCCCCTTGTCCAGGGAGGCACCTGCCTCAATGGGAGGGTTGCTAAGGGTGGCCACCCCTCCTCAGGGAGATTGGGTGGGAGAGTGCAGATCTTACTTTGAGAAACTGACTCACATTTCCTAAAAAGGTCTACCTGACAGTGGGATCATACAGGAGTTCTATTTTTAGTATTTTGGGGAAAATCCATCCTTTTCCCAGCATGGCTGTGCCAACCAAAGTCAATTCCGGATGATTTTTACCTATAAACCAGAGATTTTTTAAGAACTCCAGCAGAGAACATGAGGAGAACATTTTCATGACCTTAGACAGGCAGAGATTTCCCAGGATGCAAAGTATACTGACCGTAGGAACAAACCGGTGACTTAGAAACTATGAAATGAAGAACTTGTTCTCCTTCTTCCATTTCTGGCTAGTGTGCTGGTCTGTGGCTCGATCCCACCTCAGGCAGCTGGAAGGTTGACCTCCCAGGTCAGCTACCACTGAGATGGCTACTGTTTCTAGAAATTCTTTGGGTGTGGCCAGGTTTCCCCACCTGTGCACTGATCAAGTCGGCGACCTCTAACAGTGGAGCCATGGGTCCTCCAGGCATGGTCGCCCCCAATCCCCCAGTAAAGCCATCCCACTGAGGGTTTAGGGGGACGGGAGCTGCCCCTAGGCAAAACTGGAGATTCTCACTGTCCCTACCTGGCCTTCAGATGCTGCCTCTGGTGTCTTCTTGGAACCCTGACCTGTCAGTTTTCGGACAGCTGGTCCAGTCGTACCCTCACTTTCTGGGAGGGGGATTTGGTGGAATCTGCAGTGTGTCCTGCAGCCCCACCAGGATCGCTTTTTGAAGGCACATCATCTGGGCCATCTGAGGACCCAAGACGGTGGGTCTGTGGCCTGGAGGGATTCTGAGCAGCGCTGGTGGGATGGGAGGGCTGCAAGGCCCAGAGGCAGGTTTCCAAAAGCTGTCTGGGGTCCCAGGCATCCTACCGTTTTTGAATCAAAGCCCTGAGATCTTTAAAATGCCAGCCACGGTACAGCATGGGCCACAAAAACAAATGTCCCTGTGCACCCACCCCACCGAAATTATTGGCCATTTCTTGTCACTTGAGCTGAGTATAAAGGATTGGGAGTTGGGGCTTGAGGGGGGATCCTGGGCCAGACTTTGTATTTGGGGGACAAAGGCCATCAGACAATCTTGTGCTGAGCCTGAGGATGGGGTCTGTGTGGAGACCCCAGCTGCAGGCACTACTGTCCACTGATGCCCCCTCAGGCTGTCCAAGTGCCCCTGCTGCTGGGGGAGCACCTGCCCCGTCCTCTCTGCAGAGGGCTCACTCCTGCACCAGGTGCGCCTCCTCCTGCGAGTGACTGTCAGCCTGCAGCCTGGGAGGGTGGCTACCCAGAGTTCCTCCAGCTGCTGGGGGAACACCTGCCCCCTCCTCTTTGCCTGAGAGCTCTGTCCTGTACCAGGTGCCTTCTCTCCTGCCAGTCCCTGCCAGCCTACAGCCTGGGAGGGTGTATACCCTGACAACCTCCAGCCCTGGGGACAGAGCCAGTGCGATGTGGTCTCCCAGCAGGTCTGAGCACCAGGCCCGTACATTGCTCACTCTCCTCCTGTGGGATCACTGTGCCACATCCTCCCTCAGGCTCTCTGGGCCCAAGTCCTCCTCTGCTCAGGGACCACTCCCTGCCCAGGCTCCACATGGTGAGACTGGGAGCAGGTCATCTGGACCTTCTGGACTCTCGCTTCCGTGCCCGTGACATGGGCACAGTGCAGCCTCACAGACTGCTCAGAGGAGACCCAGCGCAGGAAGACGCAGGCCGCTGCAAGGGAGATGCCAAGTGACCCTAGAGGGAGCGCACGGGACTTGCACAGGCCCACCAAGGTGCTCTCCCCGGAGGACCTGTGGGACCCATGCTGCTGGGCTGGCCCCCATCATTCCCTGGGTCATGAAGAAGCTGAGATCCATGGCTGTGCCCAAGAATCACCAGGACATCTGGAAGTCACGAGGGGCTGCCCCCGTCTCCATCAGGGGGTGCTGCCTTGAGCGGAGCCGTCAGAGCAGATTCCTACTTCTGTCCCCTTGAGGGAAACTGTGGAGCCCAGCACTGCTTGCATGGGCACGCCAACGCCCCAGCCACCCCTGTGCACAGGAGGCCTGCCTGGGGGCACACGTTCCTCTCTTTGTGGTCACTACATTTTGATCATTTCGGGGTCATTTGCAACTGTGAACGGCTCCAGTTTTATGTCAGAGGTTTTTCTGTGTCAATGCTGAGCAACCATCTTTAAAAAGAACAATTGAGGGAAAAGGTTTTCTCTCTGGTTCTAAACAGACATTGCCTGTTGGGGCTGGGAGCAGCCCTGTAGCAGCCATGGAGCCAGAACAGGTGCTGGCCGGGTCTTCCCTCCCAGTCCTTACACCTCACTGCAGCCATGGGGCTTCAGGGTGAGGGTGCGCTGAGCCACCTCTCAGACCCCCCAGTGCCCTCACCACCAGAGACTTTGGCCGTGGCCACTAGCTCGGCCTCCAGGAGCGTGGAGCCCTCTGGGCTATATAAGGTTCCTGCCTTGGTTTTAAATGGCTATTTCTGGGCGCCTGAGTGGCTCAGTTGGTTAAGCGACGGCCTTCGGCTCAGGTCATGATCCTGGAGTCCCAGGATCGAGTCCCACATTGGGCTCCCTGTTCAGCAGGGAGTCTGCTTCTACCTCTGACCCTCTTCCCTCTCGTGCTCTCTGTCTCTCATTCCCTCTCTCTCAAATAAATAAATAAAATCTTTAAAAAAAATAAATGGCTATTTCTATGCTGGTGTTTGTGAAATGTGGGCACTCGCTCTGTCTGGATGTGCATCCCCTTGGGATTCCTCAGTGCCCACCAGTGGGTTTGCACTTGTGCACTTTCTCTGGACCAGCTGCCTGCACTGTGTCTTAGCAAGCACTTAC